GACTGAAGATACAGGAGAGAAACCTTTCTCATGTTCAAGATGCGGAGAAAGGTTTCTAAAAAATGAAAATTTAATGGTTCACATGAGAACTAACACATGTCAGAAGATTTACAAATGTCTGTCCTGTGGAAAAAGCTTCACTCATAAATCAAATCTTTATAGACATGCCAAAACTCACACAGGTGAGAAGCCTTTCAAATGTGAGACCTGTGGAAAAAGCTTTTTTCGGTCTTCTGATCTTAATAAACACACCACAACTCACACAGGTGAGAAGCCGTTCAAATGTGTCTTTTGTGGAAAAGGCTTTTCTCAGACATCTGATCTGTATAAACACACCAGAATTCATACAGGTGAGAAGCCGTTCTCCTGTAGTATTTGTGGAAAAAGTTTTATTAGAAAAAATAGCTTGACATCTCACATGAGAACTCACACGGGTGAGACCCCTTTCAAATGTGAGTACTGTGGAAAAGGCTTTACCGAAAAAGGTGCTCTTCATAAACACATCAGAATTCACACAGGTGAGAAGCCGTTCTCCTGTACCCTTTGTGGCAAAAGTTTTATAAGAAAAAATAGCTTGACATCCCACATGAGAATTCACACAGGTGAGACGCCATTCAAATGTGCGTCCTGTGGAAAAAGCTTTACCGAAAAAGGCACTCTTAATAAACACATGAGAATTCACGCAAGTGCAAAGCTGTATAAATGTGACTTCTGTGGAAAAGGCTTTTCTCATAGATTTGTTCTTTGTAACCACACCAGAATTCACACAGGTGAGAAGCCGTTCTCCTGTACCGTTTGTGGCAAAGGTTTTATTAGAAAAAGTAGCTTGACTTCTCACATGATAATTCACACAGGTGAGACACCTTTCAAATGTGTGTCCTGTGGAAAAAGCTTTACTGAAAAAGGCTCTCTTGACAAACACATCAGAATTCACACAGGTGAGAAGCCGTTCTCCTGTCCTCTTTGTGGTAAAAGTTATAGTCAACATGGTAGTTTGAGTTACCACATGTCAACTCATGTGTGAAATGATTGCCATCCATGAAACAGATCTTAAAAAGAAAGATATTTATTGGTTTACATAAGAAATCACATCAGTTGACGCTACAGAAATGAACAGGAGAGACTTTTTCCATGTTTTACCCGTGATAAAAATTTGCACCTAGAAACTCCTTCACCTCATTACAATAGTTTTTTTTTTCTTATTCAGTAGATGTTTTAACACTAGGACTCCCAGAATTCTAATCTTACTAGAACTCCGACTGGCCATCAATTTGACGGGTGACATTTTTCCCAATGAAATGCATGAGTAGTGATGATGTCATCAACTAAAATGGTTCTAGTTGTGATATAAACCCATTGTGGATATGTAAACCTTAAACAGATCTAATATATATTTTTTAATGGCTATATTGTATGCTGGTATTATTTGTGTTCTAAATTAATATTAAAAATAAATCCGTAGAGTAAGACTGTTTAACTACGGCACACAGGTTCAAAGTTTGAAACTACAATTTTATGTACATAAATTGATTGATTCCCCCCAAAGATTTCCTGCAGACCACCTTTTCACATTTATGACAAATGTAATATGACCGTTTTTTGTGCAGCGCTGAAGCTCCTGGCGCTGTTTTCTGTGCCTCGCAAACGCTGCTCTACTGCGGGGGAGGGGCTGGAAACCTGCAGTTTGCACACAACTGTTTTACCAGTTCAAGGATAATATCTCTGAGTAAAAAAGTGACAAACAGCTCCTGAACAAATCCAATGCATTTATAGCTGATATTTTCAGGAGATTATAAATTACAGCCACAGCATCGGAACTTTTACAAAATCCTTTCTAATCATCTGATCCAACACATCTACCCCGACCTGAGTGGTTATAGTAGACTACGGCCTCTGGTTTGGCTTTTGGGCCGCTGAATGGACCGACTGAGGTGTGGGCAGTGCTTGAACAAAAGTTTTACTATCGTCTGAAACGTCTGCTTTTTCCCGGGGGATGATTGATCATCCTCAGACTCGCTATCAGAATCTGAGCCACTTCCTCCCCAGTACTTATCGTTCTGTCCCCCTCTGCCCGAATCACTATCATCAATATTTTGAAGGATTTTTAAAGCCTGTTTCGCTGTTAGATTTCTCCTGAAACCAATTTTTTCGTATTAGCCAAAGAGTTCTAGCTAGAATGTTGTTTGCTAGGCAACGGTACTAAACGTCAATCAACCGCGGGAAGATTTTACAATGCAACTAATAGAGCTGTCAAAATGATGACTGTGGGAGATCAAGGATAGAATTAAACA